TCCGAAGGGGGCATTACCTGCTCCTGGGTGGAACACCAGGATGATGGTCAGCTGTTTTGCCCTGATGTTCCCTCAGCCTGTCCTTTCTGCCCCTTGGTCAGCCCTTGGCTCCCCTTGGCTGTGTCATGAATCTTAGCAGGTTTGGGGTTGGACAGCCAGGGTGGAGAACTCTCAGGCCCAACCTCTTCCTTCAGGACTGCCTATTCTTGCATCCATTCTACAGAAAAAGTGCTCATCTACTCTGTGCAGCCCTTCACCAAGGAAGTGCTGCAGTCCCTCCCGCTGACCAAAATCATTTGCCACTACCAGCTGCTCACTGAAGAGAACATACCCGAGAACCCACTGTGCTTCCTCTACCCCCGAATCCCCCGGGATGAAGCTTTTGGGCGCTACTACCAGGAGAAAGGTGAGAGTCATTGACATACATCACGGGAAGATTACAGGGATTCTCAGGCATCTACAAATTCTACTCCTTTCTTCCAGACATGGAAAAACTGATATCCAGAGAAGTCAAAGGATTTGTCCTGGGGACACTGCTAGTTAATAGGGAGACATGATTGTCAAGACCATTTGCACTAGGGGTCCTTAGGCTACGTGTCCAATCCACTGACCTCCCTGGCTTCCTGTATGTCCCCCACAGTTAATCTCCAAGAACGGAGGAAGTACCTGAAACATAGGCTCATTGTGGTCTCTAACAGGTGAGAGATGAACTTTTGGCCCATCCTCCATAATGCTTTTTGGCTGATAGAGTGACCCAAACTTGCTCAGTTTGCCTTTCTGACCTCTCTTACTGATCCACCCTCTCTAGTCTCTAGATTTTTTCTTCTGCTGCTTAGCCTCTTTCCTCTCTATTTTTCTGCTGCTATCCTTAGATTGTTTCCACAGGGCTTCCCTGATAATAATAGTCATAGTCACTGAGGTTAATGGGCTTCTACTTGAAGCATGGTACTAGATTTTTTTAAAAACAGTTTTTTCCTTTTATTTAATTTTTATGAGTACCCATCCAAGAAGGTAATGACAGCCACATTTAATGAAAGTTTATTAAATGCTAGGTACTGGGCTAAATGTTTTGTGTTTAGTTTCTTATTTATTGACTCTTCATAATAGTCCTGTGAGGCAGACATGGGTATTACTCTCTTCAGCCAAGAAACTGAAGTTTAGTGTGGTGAAGCGGCATGACCAAGGTACATGGCTAATAAATGATTCAGGCCTGTCAGATTACAAAGTCCTGCTTTTTTTTTTTTTTTTTTTAATTTTTTTAAGGGGCGCCTGCCTGGGTGGCTCAGTCGGTTAAGCATCCGACTTCGGCTCAGGTCATGATCTCGCGGTTCGTGGGTTCGAGCCCCGCGTCGGGCTCTGTGCTGACTGCCAGCTCGGAGCCTGGAGCCTGTTTCAGAGTCTGTGTCTCCCTCTCTCTCTGACCCTCCCCTGCTCATGCTCTCTCTCTCTCTCTCAGAACAAGCATGAGCAGGGGAGGGTCAGAGAGAGAGGGAGACACAGACTCTGAAACAGGCTCCAGGCTCCGAGCTGGCAGTCAGCACAGAGCCCGACGCGGGGCTCGAACCCACGAACCGCGAGATCATGACCTGAGCCGAAGTCGGAAGCTTAACCGACTGAGCCACCCAGGTGTCCCTACAAAGTCATGCTTTTAACCATCTAACTTCCTCTCAAATGTTATTAGATGGTATTGTTCCCATTTTATAGGTGATATCTGAGGCTCAGAGAGCTGGCAGTCTACCCATCTAATAAATGATAGGATTCAAACTCTAGCAAGCCCAACTCCAAAGCCTGTGCTCTTAAGCCCTCTGCTCTGTTGACTTCTTACACTAGAGAGATAGTCTCTGCTTGCTCTGCCATTCTCCACTCACCTATGCAACCAAGCCCTACCCTTTTGTCTATACTGTGGTATCTAGACAGGTAGACGAGCTGCAACAGCCGCTGGAGCTTAAACTGGAGCCAGAGGTGGAGTCACTGGAGCTGGAGCCAGGACTGGCCCCGGTGCCACAGCTAGAGCCATGTCTGGAGTTAGAGCCACTGCTGGCGGCAGGGCTGGATCTGGGTGCATCCCTGGAGCCCATGCCGGAGTGCACTCTGGACTCCGTGCTAGAGCCCACACTAGATGTGGTATCGCAGAGAGTGCCGGAGCTAAACTTGGGACCAGAACTGAAGCTGGAGCCTATTCCAGACCCTGCATCGCAGGCAGTGACAGAGCCAGAGCTGGATTTGCCCCATGATCTGAGACACTTGAACACCGAGGAAATGGAAAGTAAGTGATGCAAGGGGGCTGGGGAGGAAGGGACACATTTCCCTTTACCAACTGCCCTCCCTTACCCAGTATAGAAAAGGCTAAGCTCTGAGCACCTCCCTGGAGGGAGACTCATTTGTGATACCTTTTATTAGGAAATATACCTGCATCTCCCTTCCCCCACCTAAGTGCCCCCTCAGGCACTGCCAGGCCTGTGTGGCCATCCTCCCTCATATTCCCTGCTGGGTCAGGAACTCCTTACCTGAGAGCAGGGCCTGACTTCTTTCTCTGCACTACCTAGTTTTCAGAAACAGTATGAAGATTGAAGAAATCATGCCGAACGGTGACCCACTGCTGGCTGGCCAGAACACCGTGGATGAGGCTTACATCTTCCACCCCAGCCATTTCTACACGGATGGGCCCTTAATTCCTTCTGACTACTAGGAACTACATTTCCTCTGTTCTTCCTGTATCTTCTGTCCCTCTTACCCCTTACATCATGCTGTTGCTCTCCAAGGATGGAGAGTCAAGCATGTACCCATTCTAAGCTGGTTAAGTTAACTCTGGGTTTTGGAGTGGGAAGCAAACGCATACTGTGGGTAAGGAAGGGGCACTAATGAGTCAGAATGGACGTTGGCCATGGCTCTAACTAGGATCTTTGAAGCCATCTGCTGTCTTGGGAGGTATAGGGGTTCTGAGGGTAGGGCAGAACAGTTAGGAGGTACTTGGCAGGCTCAGACACTTAGAGTGGCTGCTTTATAGTATGGAAGGATGTTTACATTTGAAAAGTTGTTAAGACTAACATGGTGGTGCCCACTAGCATTCGCCATCAGTAGGGAACAGAGACACATGGTAGGATTCCATTTCTCTCTTATGGTTCCCTCATGTCTAAAGTAACATTTTCCTTCCTTCTTCCTCTCATTCCTGATTCAAGTCCTAAATTCCTTTGCTTCATGCAGAGACTGAGAGCTTTTTGCTTCAGCTCACCATGTAAAGCTCCCCTCAGAAGAAAGGAATAGGAGGTAGACCTCATTTTCTTAACAGTCTCCTCCCCTGCCCCCCCAAGCCGGCCACACCCATTCCTCCCTGTAGAATGATCCTGCCAATCTAATATGCCTGTGAAGCTTTGCACAATAATTTTACTCTGTGTACTCTGTCTAGTCTCCACTTCCTCAATGCTTAGGAGACAAAGCACTCTTGGAGGCAAGGGATGGTAGAGTTGCTGGGAATTTAGGAATCACTTTTTATAGTATTAGATAGAATTTGGTATTTTTACAGAGGAAGAGAAGCCCTGGATATTTAGATGTTTAGAAATATCTTAGATATTTCTCTATTAAGAGAACCATCCCTTCTTTTTATACAATATATTGTTAATCTGAAAAGATAGTTTCTATTTCTTGGGTGTAGACCTGGGCAAAAAACGGGTTCCTGAACCTAGAACCTTGCATGTTTAAACGGGGCTCCAGAAAAACCTCACACTGTAGTTATTCGGAACCCCAGAACAACTGCCATTGCCCCAAAATGTGTTTCCAGAATAACTTGAGATGCAATGAAAGTGGGGCCCTGTACAAGTGGCTGTTTTCTGGCTGATATTTTAGAGGAATAGTCCTGTTGAGAAAGAGGCCCTTCTGAGCAGAAGTGGCCAGTAAGCTTTGTGTTTGTTGACTTGGAAGTGTTTCGTCTCTGAACTTCTTTACTTTTCTGCTCACAAAGACTGATGTCCTTGGAGACACCAGCAGGCCACGTAGGATCAAGATCAGCAAATCATAGCCTGTCTTCCACTCACCCCAGTAGGCCCCTCCTGTCATGTTTTTCTCCTAGCCTCCATGTTTAGAACAGCCTTTCCTGTCCCTTAGATTCTTCCAGGGGGGTTGTATGAGTTGGGGGGTGGTGGTGAGCAGTTGTAGAACTAGCCTTTTGTCACTTAGCTGCTTGGTGACAAAGCCAATATGTCAGCCTGGGTCTGTCTGACTCCAAATCCCATACCTTTTTAATGTTGCAACTATGGCGAAAAGGAAGGGAAATGATCACACTAGCTCCTTCCCCTTCTCTTTCTTTCAAAAGTAGTTTATATCCCCTTGGCTAGTCAACCATCTGATGGGGCCCACAGATGTCCATAAAGGGAGAATCCCATTAATTTGGGGAATTACCGCCATCTTCCTGGAATGCCCTTCCTGGTCAAAGCAGCTCTGATTTTTGATCCTGCAGTGACTAGGACTCCTGTCTAGCCAAATATACTCTTGGCCAAGAAAGTAATGAGTAACAGGGTCAGGCAGTAAAAGGAGCCACATTTAGGGGCTCCTTTCTCAATTTCCTAATCTCAACCCTTTGTAATCCTGTTCAGTTTGTTTAGCTATACAGGGATCTAAGGCAAAAAGATCCCAGTTACTCTGTCTATACACCAGGGGCTCATGAGGAAATATCCCTCTTCACTAGGGCCCTGCAGAGTAGAAGGATGCAAATTGTAGTCCTTTAGCCCTATATTGCTTTTTCCCCAACCAAGCCTAGAAATTATTCACATAAATAAGTCTTTATTGAAAAAAAAGTACATAATTCAGTATAAATATAATAAATAATTCTCCCCAAACTGCTGCCATGAGGACAAATAATCTCAAATTTTCCCTTTCTAGTTAATAAATACTCAACTTTGTCCTAGGTCAGCGTCATAAATTAGTCAGTGTTGGGAATTCTTCAATGTCTGCAAGTCCCATTAGAATTAATGGACTAATTCACTTGTTGGCTCACAGGTTCCTGGCCTGATTCATTTTTGCACTGCTGAGCCATGGAGATCTGGGTGCCATGCTTAAGCTTCTGGCTTTAGGGGCTCAGGGTTGCTGCTCCGTGGGCAAAGACCCTGGCAGCTACAGCCACAAAGGCCTGAAGGCTGCGGAGGATCTTGAAGCGGAGAAGGAGGCGCTGCCATGGCTGGCTGGGACTGGGGCTTGGAGTTTGCTCAGTCTCCCAGTGGTGACCCTCAGGCTGAAAGGACATAGGACACAATCAGAGAACACTCTAGATCCTTCACCCTCCATTTCCTGTCTCTGATACCTGCAAGCCCCCATTCTCCAGGCCCCTCATTCATACCTGCAGGAGTTGCCTAAGGCCCAGGAGGGAGGCGTGAAGCTGGCCCACTGGGCCATCAGGGAGTAGAGAAGGCTCCCCTGTGAAAATGTCTGAGCCCAGCAGCTTCTCATAAAAAACCAGGCCCTGGTGGATCCTTTGTAAGCAGAACTGGGGGGAAAAGAAAGCAGTGAGAGCTATCAGATACCCTCCTACTCCATTTACCAAAGACCCACCTGGTTCTTTGCCATTCTTAGACACTGCCATGGTCTGAATGTTTGTGTCCCCACAAAATTTATATGTTGAATCCTAACCCTCCAATGTGATGGTATTAGGAGATAGGACCTTCACAAGGTGATGATGTCATGAGTGTGGAGTCTTCAGGAACTTGATTAGTGCTCTTCTAAGAGATCCACGCAACTCCCAAGGCCGTTCGAAGATAACAGTGAGAAGTCTGCAACCTGGAAGAGGGCCCTCACTTGACCATGCTGGTACCCTGATATCCAACTTCCAGAAATTAGGAACAGTGAGAACTAAATATTTGATGTTTATAAGCCACCCAGTCTGTGGTATTTGTTGTAGCAGGCTGAACGGACAAGGACAGATACAACTCTTACTAATTCACCATGGTACCCAACGATGTCCCAGTCCCCTCTTCCTTGTAGTCCAGCCTCTTCTTACTACCTGACTGTTGTCTCTGAGTCCTTGGGGATCACAGCCATCCTCACACTGGATGTGGGGGACATCATTTGTGGTCTCGTCATCTCCCTGTTCTCTTGGTAGGTCCTGGAATGGAGGAAGGGGTGGGAAGAGTGAAGAGATAAGAGAAGCACTTTCTAAGTCCACCAATAACCCAGGCCCAGGAGTCTTCCAGGAACCCCACTCCCTGTCCTCTCTCACTCTTTGAGGACCTTCAACCCTCCAGCTTCCATCCAGAGCCACAGAGTCTTCTCTCCTTGGAAGCCTTGGAGAGCTTGGACAAGCTCCCATTTGGTGCCAGAGCCTGCTACTTACCGTGTGTCCCGTTGGAGGATGTGCACTCCAGGCCAGCGTGCAGAGCTTCTGTGAGAGCTGCTGGCCCAGAGCCCAGGCAGGGCTACTGCCCTCGGGCACAGCCCGGGTCTTCGCAGTCCAGGGCCGTGGCAGCAGCAGCAGCAGCAGCAGCAGCATAGCCCTGCTCCCCAGCATCTTGTTGCCTGCTTCTCAAATCTGGCTGGCTCTGTGCTTCACACCAGTCCCTGTGGAATCTCTGCCCACTTCCCTTTGCTCTGGAGCCTGATGCTCTCTGCCTTCTGTGTGTCTCTGGTTTGGTTCCCTCTGTTGTTCACGGAGTTTCTGAGCTGCTTCCTGCTGTTTTTCTCCCCTTGTCTCTGAGTCTCTTTTTAAGGTCTTTGCATTGTAAGGCCCGCCCTTTATACTAGCAGGTGACTCACAGCAGGTGGGATTCCCCTCCCTGCATCATCCCCTTCTGTGGAGAGCCCAGGTATGCAGCCTCAGTCCCAAGGGAAATGAGACGTGTGGTTGCTGTGGCTGGAGGCCTGGGATGGGGCATATGTGTAATGCTCTCCATGAATCGAAATGGCTGTAGAGGGGGTGGGGGTTAGACAAATGAATATTTAAATGAATCTAGTCTCAAGTTTCTTCCTGTTGAACTTCCCCCCCATTTTTTTTTTTGCCTCTCAAAGCTTTATCTCCCCACCCCCACCTAACGTCCTTACCTCCTCCTGCCTGAGGAAAAGCCAAAACGGAAACATTCATTTATTTCCCAATAGGATAGCAAGCTCAGTTTGGAATGAAGTTTGGTTCCCCTCTAGTGCCCTGTGTCTAAAAACAAGGGGGCTTCTTTTTTCTCCCTTGGCAACAATTATTTTCACTGGGAGAGAATGGATGTGAAGGCACTCTGTGAACTGAGAAGCCATATAATGCCGTATAAAGTATTACTGTTCCCGCTTCAGGCCTCACTGTGGAGTGGAGGCCTGGAGGGGGAGACAGTTGTTGCTAAGAATCATCTAATTCCTCAACCTTAGTGGCCCAAAGTTTCATAGGATTTGTGGGGTTCAGGTGGTAGTTCTTTTGGGATACGAGTTTAAGAAAAGGCTGTGAGTCAAATTTAGATATTCCAGCACCCAGGCCCTACCCCACAGTTAGGAAGTCCAGGAATTCTGGGGAGTTGGAGATGCACTGTGTAAATGACCCTGACCAGTCCTTCAGCCTGTTGCATCCATGGGTAAAATCCGCTGACACTGATTTCATCACCCTCCCTGATGCAACATTCAGTGAGCCAGCTGAGACTGTGAGGTTGGGCGTGGGAGTGGGGGGTGGTCCAAATCTGGGACTGCCCCAACCCCAGTGGAGGGTCCCAGAACAATTTGGACGTCAGAATGAGGACATGGCTGACCACACAGATGGTCCTTAAAGCCTTCCCAAGAGGTTGACCCTTCTTCTCTGAGAAATTTACCCTTGATAGAGGCCTCCCTTCCCTTGGAACTATTCAAAACTGCCCAGTGAAACTTCTGATTCAAATATTATGACTCTGTGGTAAATCTATCCTTTGGATAAAATGTTTCCAGCATCATAGAGGTTATCTCAGTCTGAGTGGGAAATGGTTTGCCTCTCTCTACATATGGTATAAACAAATGGAAGAAGGAAGGAGGGGAGCTCACTTCACTTGTTTTTTTTTAAATTTTTTTTTAATGTTTTTTATTTATTTCTAGGAGAGAGAGACAGCGTGAGCAGGGGAGGGTCAGAGAGAGAGGGAGTCACAGACTGAAACAGGCTCCAGGCTCTGAGCTGGCAGTCAGCACAGAGCCCGACGCGGGGCTCGAACCCACGAACCGCGAGATCATGACCTAAGCGAAAGTCGGACGCTTAACCGACTAAGCCACCCGGGCGCCCCCTCACTTCACTTGTTTAATGTCTGTTATGTTCTTTCCACCTCTGGCCCCATTTTGGGGGGCCTAAAGGATAGGAGATGAAAGGTAAAAGGAGGAGGAAGTGGAGTGTTGGGGGATGGGAGAGACAAGGGTGAGTTGGAGGCACGGGGCTCTGCTGCTTTGTTTCACTTCCTGGTGCTTCGAGAGTTGGGTAGGAAGCAAGGTTAGTGGGGTGATTGTGGGACTGTTCTGTGGCAGGAACTACTTCCAGGACTAGATCTGACCTGGAACTGCAGTGACCCCTTGACGTCAACAGAGCCTCAACCGTTATGCAAATCACATTCACAAGACACTCCTAAGCAGGCCTTTCCAGTTGGATGCCCAGACTCCAAATCCAGTTGAAATTCCCTTAGGTAGTTAATAATGATGGCTAATATATATCCAACTCTCACTTCACACCAGGTCCTTGGTCTAAGCACTTTTTATGTATTAACCCATTTAATTCTCACAACCCAGTGAGCTGGTACTGTTATTACCTCCATACTACAGATGAGGAAACAGATAAGTAATTTACTCAAGATCAGAGCTGAGTGGCCAGAATTCCAGGAGAGGAATTCTGGCTTCAGATCCTGCTTTCTCTCTCTCTCTCTCTCTCTTAATTTTTTTTATTTTTTTAAATGTTTTATTTATTAGAGAGAGAGACAGTGTGAGCAGGGGAGGATCAGAGACGGAGATACAGAATATGGAACAGGCTCCAGGCTCTGAGCTAGCTGCCAGCACAGAGCCCGACGCGGGGCTCGAACCATGAACCGTGAGATCATGACCTGAGCGGAAGTTGGATGCTCAACCGACTGAGCCACCCAGGCACCTCTCAATCTCTCTCTCTCTCTTTTTTTTTTTAAACAAATAGTTTATTGTCAAGTTGGTTTCCATATAACACCCAGTGCTCATCCCCACAAGTGCCCTCCTCCATGCCCAACTCCCCCCCCCCTCTTTTTTTAAATGTTTATTTAATTTTTGAAAGAGAAAGAGAAGAGGGCGGGAGGGGCAGAGAGAGGAGATACAGAACCTGAAGCAGACCCCAGGGTCGGTGCCATCAGCACAGAGCCTGGGGGTGGGGTGGAGTGGGGTGGGGTTTTTGAATTTACTAGCAGCGAGATCAGGACCTGATCTGAAATCCTACAAAGCTTTACCGACTGAGCCACTCAGGCGACCCCAGATCCCGCTTTCTCAAACATTCCATTCCATTGGACAGAACACAAAGTATCTTTATAAAGTAGTTTATTTAGCCCAGGTGTCTCAGGCCCAGTAATTCTCATGGGTCTGTGAAGTCTTTCTCAAACCGAGACCTCAATATGGAAATTTCTCAAAGTTTACAAACTGTCTAGTCTCTCAGCACCCATCTTTTCCCAAGATTTTAAGTCTAGTGACCTGTGATGTCAGATCAGTTTGAGAGACCCACTGAGTTAAGGTATTTTTCTATGACTTCTGGTGGACTCTAGGGACCCTCTAAGTCCTGGAGGTCAAAATTCTGGAGTCCTGGGGCGCCTGGGTGGCTCAGTTGGTTAGGCGTCCGACTTCAGCTCAGGTCAGATCTCATGGTTCATGGGTTCGAGCCCCACATCGGCTCTGTGCTGACAGCTCAGAGCCTGGAGCCTGTTTCGGATTCTGTGTCTTCCTCTCTCTCTGCCCCTCCCCTGCTCATGCTCTGTCTCTCTCTGTCTCAAAAATAAATAAACTATAAAAAATTAAAAAAAAAAATTATGGAGTCCTTTTGGGGCGCCTGGTGGTTCAGTTGGTTAGGCATCCGAGTTCAGCTCAGGTCATGATATCGCGGTTCGCGGGTTCCAGCCCCGCGTCGGCTCTGTGCTGATAGCTAGCTCAGAGCCTGGAGCCTGCTTCGGATTCTGTGTCTCCCTCTGTCTCTGACCCTCCCCTGCTCACGCTTTCTCTCTCTCTCAAAAATAAATAAAACACTAAAATTTTTTTTGAAAAAAAAAATTCTGGAGTCCTCTTACTACAGCGTTATTTAGCAGGCTTTATTGAGAGAGAGAGAGAGAGAAATGCTTTAATACTGTATCCTCCGAGAGAAATTCCTCCCATCAAAAAGGCCCTCTGTAAAAAAGAAAAAAAAAAAAAAAGGCCCTCTGTGTGGCCGTTACAAACTGAGCTAAATTGCTCTGGACACCTCTCGCAACCTGGCCCCATTCCAAAAACAGTTCACGCTCAGAATTAGTCCCCAAGAATCGCTAAAAATAACTGTTGACGCTAAATCTGTTAAGAGTTTGGGGGTAAGCAAATGTCCCAGTTTGCTGCTCTCATCCCCCTCTGAGGGATAATGTCCAGCTTCGAGAGCAGGGGAATTTGATAGCCAAGGGGTCTTGCTCTCTGGGACTATTACCGGAGCATCTGGGGAGGGGATAATCACAGATGGGAGTTTCAGATGGATGCCTACAGAATCGTAGAAGAGGCAGCTGGTTGGGCCGTGTTTGGAACCTGGCTCCCGCTTCCGTTTTTTCTCTCCCATGCCTGGAAATGATAGGAAATGCCGGAGAGTTTCGGGGGCAACAGGGTGAGAGAGGTGGCGGAGCAGCTCACAAGAGCACCGGAGGAGGAGGGGGTGGACCAGACAGGCTGGGAATACCCAGTAATCGATTCCCCGTGCTTTACCTTGGACACCCCTTATTCTAGGGCTTCTAAAGTTACAGGGAGCATTAAAGTTAGGTTTCCATGCGACTTCTCCAGTTTTGTTCAAAGAAAGCTTAAAAGAGAAGGGGTTACGTTTCACGACACCAAATGCGGCAGGATCTGACACCGTTTGTCCCCATCGGCGGCCCGTAACCTTATTTTTGCCCAATACCTGCGTCACGCGTCTTCCCGCGGAGCCGTCTGTACCTGGCTCCTTCTGATTGGCTTAGGTGAGCTCCGAGCCCTTCCTGATTGGAAGCTCTGACTGGGAGCCCGCCGTCCTTTCCGCAGTAGTGTTCGGTTGAGCCTCAGGCGCGGGGGAGAATTGGGGAAACTGGAATTTCCCGCGGAGCTGACGGCGCTTGCTCTCCCCCTACTCGTTTTAATTCCACGCGCTCCAAAATATCCGCCATGGAGAAATCTTGGTAATGACCCAATCCCCATAAGCATCCCAAAAACACATCTGACCCCTGCCCTAATCCCTCCCCTCCCCGCCGCCGGGGGAGAATTCTGGGTAATTGATTTCTCTGGTTCCCCTAGAGAATTGTGGGTAACTAGCCATTTTCATCATGTCCCCCCACTCCCGCCCCAGTTGTGGGTAACTGGACATTATTATTTTCCCCTGGAGAATCCTGGGTACCATTGCAGGGGATTCTGGGAAACTTGACTTCTCTTATTTTCACCTCCCAAACCCCCACCCCTCATCCTTAATTTTGGGAAACAAGCATCTTGAGCCCCTCTCCCTAACTCTTGTCCCGCAGTCGCTGCTCCTTCCATTGATGGTTCCGGGGTAAACCAGGCAAGTGAGCAGGCCTGAAGGAAGATGAAAAGAAATCATGTATTAGGTTAGATAGCGGGATAGCGGGGAGTACAGAGGGCCTAGAGTAGAAAAAGGGACAACACTTACGCCTCTACCCCACTTCGCATCCCCTTCCTGCTTGCTTCATCTCCTGCCTGGCATTCTCACATCTGCCTGCCTCATCTCCCTTCTGCGCATATAATCTAGAACACACTAAATACAATTACCTGGGCCTACCTACCACTGACTCAGCTACCTCTTTCCCTTTGCAGGCCAGGATGTCCATTCTAGCCCCACTGGTGCTGTCCTGCTGAAGGCTGGGTCAGGCATCTAAAGGGAAGGGTGTGACGGGTCTAATCTGCCATCGTCATCATGAACTTCGAGGGCCTGGACCCTGGACTGGCAGAGTATGCCCCAGCTATGCATTCTGCCCTGGACCCTGTCCTGGATGCCCACCTGAACCCAAGTCTGCTACAGAATGTGGAGCTGGATCCGGAGGGGGTGGCTTTGGAGGCTCTTCCTGTCCAGGAGTCAGTGCACATAATGGAAGGTGTCTACTCTGAATTGCACAGTGTGGTGGCTGAAGTGGGTGTGCCTGTCTCCGTCTCCCACTTTGACTTGCACGAGGAGATGCTGTGGGTGGGAAGCCACGGGGTAAGAACCGTACCCCTTTGTAAGGGCAGAAAGGAGTTGTTGGAGGTCTTTTGTCTGGTTTTAGCCCAAGGACAGCTGCTTTACTGGGAGTCAGAACTGAGTTGTGGCGAGAGTTAGTTAGGTCTCTAAGTCAAAATCAGGAGGAAGGGAGTGGAAGGAGCCATATAATCCAGGGAGAAATTACATAGGTGTTCTTTTTTAGAAGTCATCCCATTTCTACCACAATTTGCCCATTCTAAGCTTTGATTAATCTTGATAACTACGCATCAGTTAGTCTGTAATGTCCCAATCCAATCTCTAATGACCCTCTTCTCTTTCCATTTTTATAATTATAAAATGTTTAACACGTGTTTCTGCATACCTTACATGGAATCATTCTGTCTTCTTTTGCTGATTTTAATCTCTCTGAAAATAGTTATCAATGTTAATTAAAAAAAATTTTATTTTAGAGCACACAAGCAGGGGAAATAGTTATCAATGTTAATTAAAAAAAATTTTATTTTAGAGCACACAAGCAGGGGAGAGGGGCAGAGGGAAAGAGATCTTAAGCAGGTTCTATGCTCAGCACAGAGCCTGATGCAGGGTTTGATACCACAACCCTGAGATCATGAT